GGGGGGGGGGGGGGGGGGGGGGGGGGGGGGGGGGGGGGGGGGAGGGGGGGCGTAAGAGGCGACATGATGTTATTCAGGTGTGCTTGAAAGGGGCGATGACAGCACCAACCGTCGTGGCATCATGATTGACCGTGTCTTAGGCCTTCGCCAACATGGAGAGGGAGTGGGGGGTGGGTTGGCATGTCTTGAAGCAGGTAGAATTCGCACACACCGATCTGGTTCAGTTCAATACCACCCCCCCGTGTGGTGCAGCGCGGTGTGGTGGGTAGGTGTTATCTTGCGTGGCACACTGCTGAACCTGTAGACGACAGATGGATCCACGATTGGTTCGTGCGTACAGGAATACACAATACGCTACTGCATGAACTTGTTCGTTATGGAGCCGTGCGACTTTGCCGGCCCTACAGAGAGAGCCAAAGGCGAGACCTGGACTACTGCTGTTGATATCTCTATCTTACCTGAAGCTCCTCCGCTCGTTCAAGGGCCGCCTTGCACTTGTCTACAGTCTCGGTGCCAAGCTCAACCCCGACTTCGTCCGAAGCCATGGCGATCAACGACCTGTTGACGACGCACAACAGGTATGCGTGCGTGTGTGGCCAAAGTTGATGTGGTTGTTTTTACCATTGTTCTTGGTAAGGCCAGGCCACACCGACCGACCGACCAATCAAAATATTTCATACCGGGAGACGAAAAGAGCGCAAGTCGTGTCTTTGTATTGCGGGGGGGGTCGCGGGGGCTCGCCCAAGGGAACAAATCCCGAAACAGATTGTCAACCAACATCTTATGGCGCAAAGACGTGAAAACAACGACAACGAGCACGACACATGGTGAACACGCCAATACAACAACATGGACATCATCATCATCGTCGTCAGTAACAACGAGTAGGAGTAGACGGCAAAGTTACTGCCGAGTCTAACCTGAGGGTACCCATGTCCGGCCTGTCCCTGGCCATTTCCTTCTCCATCGCCTGCAGCACCGGCGCCTCCTGTAGGTGCTTAAGCTCCTGCCGGATAGCCCTGACAAGAGTTCCAAAAAAACAAAGTATCGCCACGTGTGATGTACCACCATGCGAACGAGTTGCTTTGAGCCATGTTGGAGTAGCTCTTCGACAAAAGGGGACCCCTGCGTTATTGTTTGCCGTCAAGAAACACAACACAGAACAACCAACAACAACACACCCACCATCGTCATCAACGCAAAACACGACCCCCACCAGCAGCAACAAGAGCAACAACAAGAAGGAGAAGAACGACACCACACAACGATTAACAACACTCCACTACACACCCAAACAAAAACACACAGCGACAACAGCGACGAAGACAACGACAGCAGCAGCAGCAGCAACAACAACAATAACAGCAACAACAACAAAGCAATCCCCATCAGCGACATCAATGGCAGCAGGAGCAACAGCGGCAGCGGCAGCAGCAGCAGGAGCAGCAGCAGCAGCAGCAAACACCGACAAGAGCAGCAGCAGCAGCACAGCACACCTGGCGTCATCAACCTCTTCCGTGGGAGCCTTCTTGACAGTAGTCTCCAGCTCTCGAAGCTCGGCCAGTATGGGGTCCAACGCTTGGAGGTGGGGCACCGGGTCCCCACCTTCCTCGAGGCACGTGCCGGCCCCCACGGTCGCCTATTTACCCGCAGCAGCAGCAGAAATTACAGCAACGGTGTTCACATCATCATCAACAACAACTACAGTAGCAGTAGCACCAACAGAGGCAACAGCAGCAAAAACAACAAACAAAATACCAGCAGCTGTATGAGGCAGCAGCAGCAACAACAACAACAACAGCAAAGGCAACAGCAGCAGCAGCAGCAGCAGCAGCAGCAGCAGCAGCAGCATGAAGCAACAACTACGGTACGAGGTTGATCGGTGGCGTGGTGGCTACAACTGCATACACCACTAACAGGCAGCACCCGCTCCCCATCATCACCAGCAGCTGCACTAAAATAGCGGCAGAGACAGCAGTGACACCATTCATACGACAAACGGCAACACTGCCCACCTTCCGCAGCTTGTTGACCAGGTCTTTCCGGTGCTGTATGTCTCGGCACAGGCTGCGAGCGCTCTCCAGCTCCAGGTCTCTGACTCCGGTAGCTGATGCTGCCTACTCGGCACACGACAGGGGAATCACAGGTTGGATTTAGAAAAGGGGAGGGGGATGGGGTCTGACAGCCGATGCAGCCTACACTGCACACGCATACCAAAGGGAGGGGATTCACAGATTGGGAGATAGTATAAGGAGAGGATGCGATGTTTACAAGCCTCAAAACTGCTGGGCCGCACAGAAGTTTACCCCATGCCGCCTACTCCGCCGCAGACACACAAAAGGAGGGATTCACATACTGGATTAAGATCGAGAGAGGGGGGGCGATAGCCGATGCCACCTACGCGGCATACACACAAAATAGGGGTGTCCGACAGATTTGATTTGGGAGAAGAGAGAGGGGGGGGCGGGGACCCGAAACTGCTGGGTAGAAAACACGACGATACACAAAACTCCCACATAAATGGTGCAAGAATCTACCGATGAGACTCGACGCGCGACTCAGGGGGAACATCTCAAAGGTCATACAGAAAACAAGCTATCCATGCGGTGCACCATGCGAACAACATAACACCCACCCACAAAACATGCGGTACGTGTCTACATGTCGTGGCCTAGGTTCATTTAACAAAGTACTGGATTTTGGATGAGGCCTCCAGCTCTGAGGCCGGCGGTCCCATGGACGCACTGCCGAACCGACTGCTGTCGGCAATGAATCTGTTAATGATCCATACATGTTATCAGGGCCGACGCCTACCTCTACTATTCGTGCTGAATTTGGATTTCGTCTGCAGCCCAATTGTACCACTGTACCATATTCCTCTACAAAAAAAAAAAATCAAGCACATGAATAAATACAAAACACGCACACATTCGAATAGCTACGTGTGTTTCAGCTTAAGGCAACGGGGAAAGGGCGCAACTTGTACCGCTAGTCCTTCTTCACCTGAATGGACTTGATGAGGACGTCGAAGTCCTCCTCCTCCATGGCCACCTGCACCCTCTCCAAGGCCTCCTCTCGGAGCAACTCCCGGATGAGGAGCTTCGCTTCTTCCACCTGGTTTCGCAGCAGCAGGTATTGGTGACGTCACCATTGTCATGGACAATACTGTACTCTCGTCTGTGACTGTATACGGCTGTGATACTACTAAAATCATGACTAACTCGAAAGGATCAACAGGTTGGCTTCACCCACCTTGATTACGGAGCAGCAGGTATTGGTGACGTCACCGTTATCATGAACAATACTATACTCGGTCTGTGATTACGAACTGCTTCGATACAACGAAAATCACGACTAATCCGGCTCCTGGATCCAAAGGTTGGCTCCATCCACCTTGATTATGGAGCAGCAGGTATTGGTGACGCCATTTGTTGCCATCAGTTGTCGTCAACAATACTCTGGTCTGGTGATTTCGAAGGGCTACGACACAATCACGACGAATTATTCGGCCCCGGGATAAAAAAGTTGCTGGCTCCATCCACCTGATTTCGCAGCAGCAAATTGGAAACGGCGCCATCGTTGTCATCAACATCACCCCAGTCGTTGATTCCCAACGGCTGCTAGTGTACGATACAATCATGAATAATCCGGCTCCCGGATCAAACGGTTGACCTCATCCTCCTGATTCCCACAACAGCGGAAGCGAGAAACTTCAGTTCCCATGCTGGCACGTAACCGGCCTCCCAGTCAAGTTCGCATCAGTTTCGATTCTAGAAGGAACTGACGGGAGACCGGGGCGGTTGGTAACTTCAAGCCAACAAGCAACCAACATCACCTGCGGCGATCTGAGGCGAAGCTGCGTCGCCAGGGCCACGGCGGCTGTAAGGTCTTCCCTCGACCTGCTCTCGATGGCGGTCGTCAGCATCTGCTGGGCCTCCTTACGCACCTGTTGACAAACAACAAAAAGTGGAAAAGGGTATCCGCGACGACGACACGACGAGAAATGAAAATCAAGTTGAGCACAAGCGACGACGAGGATCCCGTTCAGGACGAGAGGACACCTGCCAAGGAAAAAAAACAAAAAAAGTTTGGCCGACAAACTGACGGACAGCGCGTGTCGAGCGAGCAAAACCGCTTACGGCAGCACAACGGAGCACCAGAAACAAAAACAGAAGGCGGGTCCGAGTGGGACGGCCACCGGTCCCATCCCCAGGCTACCTATCACCCACGGTTTAGAGCATGCGGTCATATCGAAAACGGCGAGCACATTTTCTTCTTTCAAGAATTCATGCCAGAGCAGGGCAGGGCAATCAGACAATCATCGAGTCTTTCACTCCCCCTGCAGCATGTAGATCTTCCAAGCTCCCCCCCCCCCCCCCCCCCCCCCCCCCCCCCCCCCCCCCCCCCCCCCCCCCCCCC